GTAGTTAATGTGATTTCTCAACGCATTCTCATCCTTTAACGTCATATAGAACGCTAGTGACAAAACGGCGCTATACTACGCACATGGCACCCGTTATCGTTAATATAACACGTGCTGTGAGGGCTAAGTTTAGGTGTGGGGTAGGGTGTACGTGTCATATTCACGCTAAAGGATTTATAACGTCTTGGGTTCGCGTGTTATATTAACGATAAAGGGAGCCATGTGCGTAGTATAGCGCCGTTTTTGCATATAGCGTTCTATATGACGTTAAAGGATGAGAACGGGCTGGATTTCTGTGAAGCTGTAGTGCACCTGTGTGAATCTGAGGAAAACTGGCTTCACACATCCACCTAAACATCGCAAACTGACATTGAATCAACGTGGAAACATGACATCGAAACAACGTTGATCTGACATTGTTTTGCTCATCGAATTAACATTGAACCAACATCAGACGCGTCATTCGTTCAAAACTAACGGAAAATCAACTTGAAATCAACGTTGTTTCAACGTTATGAAAGCAAATCAATTTTCGATTTTCATTTACCTTTGAAGAATTCCGCGTCTGACGTTGGTTCAACGTTAATTCGATGAGCAAAACAATGCCAGATCAACGTTGTTTCGATGTCATGAGAGACGTCGTTTCCACGTTGATTCAATGTCAGTTTGCTGTCTGGGCTATAATAACCCAGATAGCAAACTGACATTGAATCAACGTGGAAATATGACATCGAAACAACGTTGATCTGAAATTGTTTTGCTCATCGAATTAACGTTGAACCAACGTCAGACGCGTCATTCTTTCAAAACTAACGGAAAATCAACTTGAAATCAACGCGTTGTTTCAACGTTATGAAAGCAAACCAATTTTCGATTTTCATTTAGCTTTGAAGAATGCCGCGTCTGACGTTGGTTCAACGTTAATTCATTGAGCAAAATCAACGTTTTTTCAATGTCATGAGAGACGTCATTTCCACGTTGATTCAATGTCAGTTTGCTGTCTGGGAATCCTCCAGCTCAAGGCAATGTTAAGAGTTTGGTTCCCTCTTTAGGCACACTAGTTTGTCTTACTGTAGAGATCTCTGACAGAAGCAGGATCTGGCTGTCTGAAGCTCATATTAGATCATGGGAATGTGGACCCTGATCCGACTCAGTTTTGCGGCCTGAAAGACAGTGTAGGAGTTTCCCCAAAGGGAACGTGTCCGTGACACACAGAAACAGCTGGATGGGCAGCGCCTGGACCCAGACACCGCGAGGAAACACAAATAACGAAATTCACTGTTATCCGTCCATGATCATATCAGGTTAAAATACACTGCCTGGCCAAAAAATAAAAAGAAGAAGAAGAAAAAAGCTATTTGGATTTAAATAGGCAAATGCTTTAGAGTCTGGATCATTATTGCAGTGATTATTGTTTCTAGCATGTTATATGTTTGGCAACTAACCCTAACTGATGGAGTGTGTAGCTTTTCATTTCGTGAACAACCATGTAGGAACACGCATCATGGCCATATTTCAGGATGACAATGTCAAGCAGTGTTGTAGTACTCGAGACTCGGACTCGGTCTCGAGACCATATTTTAATGGTCTTGGTCTTGTCATGGACTCGTGTGCATTTGGACTCGGAATTGACTCGTACTCGAACATTTTTTTTTTTAGGACTCGGACTTATTCCCGAGTCCACTCGAGTTCAATTCAAAATATTTTTCATGATTATTAATGTATGTTAATAAAATATTTCTTTAAATTGATTGACACGCCCAGTGATTGGTGATTTTCTAGTGTGCAACTGCGCATGACAAATTGTAATAAAATTACTTTTAACACCACCTACTATGTGGCCTTTTTACCCTAAACTGATCATATTTTTTAAACTCTAAGTAAATTCAGTAAAATAAAAAAAGGATTTCTCTAAGTTAATAAAAGTAAATTAGGTAATCAACCCTCACTGGTCTCGGTCTCGACTCGGACTCGACCATCTCTGGTCTCGGACTCGACTTGGACTCGACTGTCTATGGACTCGGTCTTGACTCGGACTCGACTCTCTCTGGTCTCGGTCTCGACTCGGACTCGAGTGAGGTGGTCTCGACTACAACACTGATGTCAAGATTTATCAGGCTCAGATTGTGAAGGAATCATTGAAGAATCATTTTCATGAATGAATCCAGAGCTTAAATGCACTGGAAGTGTTTGGGATGTGCTGGAGGAGGCTTTACAGAGAGCTGGACTCTTGCATACCAGATCTTGACAGAAAATATATGGAACTCACAACGTCACAACATTTATATTTGGCCTAGCGAGCAATAGCCGTCATTTCACCGTCTCGGTTAACTATAGACCCGATATAGTCCGGCTATGAGTAACACACACTAGCCAAAATAACCTTGAATTTACTGAAGTTACATGTCATTTTTGCCAAAATAACTTGCGAGATATATGATATCCCATCATGTAAGCAAAGTCAACAGTGATTACAAGGTGTTTGGATTCATTTCTTCACTCGTTTCATTTCTTTATTATCTAATTGATGATTAGTGTATTCTTGGGCTATGGTTTAGACGTCTATTAAATTTTCACTGACACCCCAAATATTTCCTTGTTTTAGTCTGGATTGTCTGGGCTGTGTTTGGGCCCATATTAGACGTCTTTTAAACACAAAATTGCTTTGCTGGCCATTATGTGTGTTCCTACATGGTTGTTTAAGAAATGAAAAGCTACACTCTACATCAGTTAGTGTTAGAAGAACTGTTGCCAAATATATAACATGCTAGAAATATAATAATCACTGCAATAATGATCCAGTCATAGACTCTGAAGCACTTTTATTTCGGCCCGGCAGTGTATATTACACATGTATAACGCACGTCTCAAGCCCAGTCAGTGTCCCAGCAGAGGTCTCTGAGATGAAGCTCTCTGTATTGCTGTCATCACTGCGCTATGCAAAATATTCTTGTTATTAAAAGCACCTTGTCTACAGGAAGTGTTGGATGATAAGGCAACAAGATTTTAGAGCTGCATGCTTTATCATTTTGAGCAGTTCGGACTGATGGAGTTGATTGTCTCTGAGGATTGAGTAGCTGTGACTGGCAAAAAAAAACACCTTCAGATTAGATTACCCAGCCCACTGAAGAACACATTACAGAATGCAAGCATATGTGAGTCGTGCATTAAATAGCAAATTCAGATCAATATACAGAGTTATTTTAACCATTCCTAAACAATTCTCTGCAACATTAATTTCACTGAAAATCTCTCCTTGTTTTTTTGCTGGGAATATGCCAAAGTCGGAGGGAATTATGCAGTTGGGACAAACAAGAGTTCAAGGATTTTATGGATAAATGAGCATGTTCATTAAAAGTGTTGTGTTCATCTTTAGTTATCTGTGTGTCTCTTCAGACTTGAGTATTTATTGCAGTATCACCACCTGCTGGTGCGGACTCATAACTTCACTTATCTTGAGTATGGGGACGTCCTTCATCAGTCTTTTCCCCAACACTCATTCTCACAGGTTTATGTTGCTGTGTAAATGTGGTCCTACCATAGATGATAGTTTTGTTTATATAAATGTATTAATAGGGTTTAACACTCTAGATTAGGGAACACTATTCACAGTGCACAATTGCTTGTTAGCATACATATTGTCTCTTTATTAGTACTTATAAAGCACATATGAATGCCTTATTCTGCATCCCTTAACCCTTCCCCATACTTAAACATAACCAGTACAACACAACTACCTTACTTACGGTTAGAAAGCAGAATTACTGCTTTCTGCTTTCTAGTAACTAGGAAAATCTCCTAGTTAGTAGTGAATATGTGTTCCCTGATCTTTAGTGTTCCCAAATATAGTGATTAATACCGTTTAAAGTAAACATGCAAAACATGATTTAGTTTAGTTGTAAATCATTTTCCCCTTTTCATGTTGTGATGTTCCTACTCTAAACAATACAAGTTTTATGTATCTGTTTAATATGACATCACACGCATACTGATCTGGTTATTGTGCGTTTGTCACACTGTCACATAGGAACTCGCAATTAAACAGCATATTAGAGGTTTTTCAGCAGAGTTCAAACAAAATGCTAAAGTTACATATGTAGAAACCAAACCACTCAGTATTTTTACAATTTGTTGATTTTAAATATTGCAATTAATTGTTTAAATTTACTGTATAAAACGTGCCCTGGCCTGACATTTATGAAATATACTTTTTGAGAACACAGTTCAACCTTTAGTTGAAATAAATCTGCTTTCATTATATTGTGTCAGATATCCCAAAATATTATTAAATATATTGGATATGAATTTAAGCTTGAGAGCCCAGGGGTGTAACACAGGGTAAGGTGGAGACATAGCAGAGGCTCATTCTTCCTTCCGCGGAAACATTTATTTCAAAAAATGATTTTAATTATTTATTTTTTTTGCAGAATGTTGTCTTGTCGTAGCTTACTAATAACTGACATGTGTAAAGATGATTGTCACATGGTCCAGCTCAGTCCAGTTCTCACACAGGCAATGCATTGTTGAATATTGTAGTGGGCTTGTGTGTTTAATAACATCATGATGACTGATTGGATGGAGTCCATGTGCACTTGGGTTTTGTTTGTTAACCAATCATAAAATTTGAATGTTTGAAAAATGCCAAACTGATCCTAAAACCAGCCCAAATTTTGTCCACCTGCCCAAACCCAAATTTCAACCTACACAATCAAATTCAAAACCGTTCAATCTGGCAACACTGCCAACAGGACAGCAATGGTGAACATTTGATAATATTTTGCTCAAAAAATTAAGCCTATTTGCTTTAAGATTGTTTGATATTATTCAAACCCACCTACATTAAAATATAATTACAGTAGAATAGGTGGCATACAGTGAAATATTAATGTATTTTATTACTTATACGTTTATAATATTAATAAGTTATAAGTTAACGTATAATATTTGAAGTTTTATTACTGTGGGTAATTTCTGTCTTCTGTTTTGTGTCTGTGTTTCAGCCGAACCCAAGTTAAAGGAGCTGCGGAGCGTGACGGTGCAGGATGGGAAAAAGACCGTGTTTAAGTGTCAGATCGTGGCGGGAAACCCACCGCCCAGCATCAAGTGGTACAAGAACGGGCAAGAACTCGCAGGCAAAAACAGACCCAAAAGCATTAGGATTAAGGAAAGGAAACAGTAAGTTCGTACTGTTTAAATAAATCATCATTTTGCTTAAGCTGGATGAAGATTCGGCTTAGGATATTAAGTCAGAAATGTTATTTTTGCATTTAGCGTGACGGTATCTGCCGTGTGTCGTACAGCCTGTTGGTCAAAGTTAACCCAGTAAAACCAAACAGGCCTCCCTAATTAAATTCGTAACCTTAGGACAGTGTTGCATTTTTGAGAAGAAATACTCCGATATTACGCTGACTCATGATGATGCATACGCTGCTAATGTTTATCTTGAATTACAGTATAAACAACCAAGATTATGTAACTTTCCACAGGAAGAACATATCCGAGCTACTGATCAGGAAGTCCACAGAGGGACACGCTGGTTTATACACCTGTGAGGCAGTCAACAAAATTGGAAAAACAAATACTACAGCGAGCCTAACCATCAGCAAAAGTAAGAATGCATTCTTTTCACTAGCATTAAAGTCTACAGTGTGTAAATGTGTGGCGAGGCCACAGAAAGGGCCAGGGTGACCAGACCCGTCCGGAGTGAAGACTGAATACACCAGTGGTAACTGCTAAATCACCACATCTGTTCTGTATATATCATTTGTAAAGTGCATTTTCTATAAGATCATTGCATTTTCTGCTTGGCTCTTGAGTCACAACCACGATTTCTATGAATGTAGCGCGAGGAACGATTGGTGGTGTAGCAAAACACTGTTTTAAAACGGCGTTCAGGGATCGACTATTTTCTAAGATGGCTTCTATAAGCTCGATAAGTCGATCCCTGAAGGCCGTTCAGAAGTTCGCTGAACTCCATACAGTTCACGACGTTCGTGGTTTGACTTGTCGTGACTGTACACGGAGTGAACTGTCTTTATAAAGTATCTTCTTATTAAATGGTCTGTACAAAGTTCTCAATGCTTCGTTTTGCATGTATGGACCCTCATTATGTTACTGTGTTAGTGTGGGGCTATTTTGAGCCTTGTTAGTGGAATAAACTAGCGATTTCTTTTTACTTAGTAAATGCCCCCAGTACTAGCATTATACGCTAAACAGTTTTTAGAGATAAAAATCTTTACATTCGATTATGATGAAAAAGGTACAGATGTTTTATTAGACCAAAGGTTCATTTTGCGCCGCAGTTCTCCTTTAAATGGTCCAACTTTTCACTCACTCACACACACCTTGGGAACCTTGGAAAGTTCGATTCGTGATTCTCTTTATCCTAAATGGCTTGTCTCTCATACAGTATGTAATGCTAGAAAGCCTGATTCATTCTTTGGACGGTTCTTGGAAATGTGTTGCATTGCATGTCTTTTTTGTATCTATAGGCCTGTGCTCTTTGATTCAGGTACTATATATAAATTATGGATTGTTATTTATAATATAATTGTAATTTTTAAAGATATCTTATTGATGTTTTCACCCTAACTTTAATTATTCATTCATTTAAAATCTCACATTGATATAATATAATTAGATCATATGTTCATGTTGAACAGTAAAGTTTTGCAAACCTTCACATACATGTCACATAATAGCTGCATCTAGAGCATATGTTCTCCTCAACTCCAACTTAAATACATTGATTCCAAGCAACTTTATTAGCTTTAGAAGTTCTGTCTTCCTGTTCCCGAGCCATATCTGAAGACCAGAATATCAGTGCGTCCCAATTCGCCATTTTGTAGTATACAGTGAATAGTGTGAGTAGTGTGAACAGGGAGAAGTGAGCTTCATGCACTCAACAGTCCTTGCATTTAAGAAGTATGTAGTAAACATATAGCATTGAAGTTCAACAGCCACAAACACTGTAGCATTGTGGGGAACCTTGCATTGGAAACAAACACCACAGAAAAATATTACAACCTACTTAACTCATGCTGTCTGCTTACTTACATCCACATATGTAACACAGACCCAATTGTGATATTGATCATTTACGGGTTGTGAGTCTTAAAAGCGGCGGGTCATAAATCTCTCCTGAAAGCTAAATGGGGTTCCTCCAGCCCATTCGCAACATTGCAAAAATGATCAGTTTTCTGCTCTGTAATCTGGCTTCTTAATGCCTTTTTTCAATTAGTGAGCAGTGCATTCGAATGAAATGGAAAGTGAAAAGTACGAGGTCTTCCGTGTCTTCCCTCGGGCATTAGAACAGCAGCAACCGGCCAGTCTGTAAATGTAAATGACTGTAAACTGTAAATTTTGATGCCTTACAAACCTGGTAAAGAAGGTTATCTGACTGAGCACAGATCACTGCTGGGCCAGATTTCCCTCATTGCAGCTCATTTTAGGATGTTAACCTAATCTTAGAGCGAGATTTCAGATGAGGGGCCAGACTTTAAGGACCTCATCTAACCTTACTTTAAAGGGTGTGTAGAGAGGATATGATGTTCATGTGGCGCAGTGTGATAACAGTGGTCAGTTACTGTCTGTGAGTTAGAGACAGAGCTTACAGTCGTACCCGGAACTGAACGAAACCCTAAATCCAATGCAGAATCTATGTATGTATGGATCTGCATTTACACTTTATTGATTTGTGGGCTTTAGTCTGAGTAGTTTCCCCTCAGGTTCTCCATGAAAGCGGTCCCCTCTGGTAACGTGAGACCGCCGGCCACCATTAGACTCTTCCTCATAGACTTCCACCAAATTCATCAAAGCTTCTCATTTGACCCATTTCAAGGAAACCGCGTCTCTCCATTGCACTGATGGCACGTCTGGGATTATATTGCAGATGATCACATGTCTTTCTGTATGCTTTTCAAGGAGCATCTTTTTATCCCAATTAAAGTTCACCCCACAGAGCTGATGATGGATATTGACAAAGTATCTCATTGAAGAATAGATTTGGACATTAAGGACAATCTTGGTGCTTTTGTTTCTTTTTGCTAAGATATACAAAGCTAAATATGGATGCCACTTCTATAGTAAGGGTTTAGTCTCAGTCTGTACACCAGATTTTGCTATTGACCAGAGTCAAAACCACGTTTTAAAATGGAGCCGTCTTTAAAGGGATACTCCACTTTTTTTGGAAATAGGCTCATTTTACAATTCCCCCAGAGTTAAACAGTTGAGTTTTATCGTTTTTGAATCCGTTCAGCCGATTTTCTGATATTTAGAAGAATATTAGTAACCAGACAGTTTCTGGTCTCATTGACTTCCATAGTAGGATAGTATAATAGTATTGACTTCCAATACTATGGAAGTCAATGAGACCAGAAACTGTCTGGTTACTGATATTCTTCTAAATATCAGAAAATCGGCTGAACGGATTGAAAACGGTAAAACCCAACTGTTTAACTCTGGGGAAGTGGTAAAATGAGCCTATTTCCCAAAAAAGTGGAGTATCCCTTTAACATTCTCTCCACAAATACTGTATATCTCTGTTCACTTGTCATTCTGAAAACATTTCATGTGTACATACATACCCAGATAGCAAACTGACATTGAATCAACGTGGAAATATGACATTGAAACAACGTTGATCTGACATTGTTTTGCTCATCGAATTAACGTTGAACCAACGTCAGACGCGTCATTCTTTCAAAACTAACGGAAAATCAACTTGAAATCAATTTTCGATTTTCATTTAGCTTTGAAGAATGCCGCGTCTGACGTTGGTTCAACGTTAATGGTTGAGCAAAATCAACGTTGTTTCAATGTCATGAGAGACGTCGTTTCCACGTTGATTCAATGTCAGTTTGCTGTCTGGGTAGCCATAGTTCATTTTAAAGAGAACCTACATATTATGGCATTTAAAATGTTCCTAATATTGTTCTGGGATTCCCCAACAACAGTTTTACATGAATGCAATGACAAAAAACAGTTTTGTTGTCTTATAATGTGCATTTATTTTTACCTGATTTGCTCACCGTCTCCCAAATGATTCGTACGACTCAATTTTCCAAACCACTCCTTTGCGTGACGCTAATCGGCGGTGATTGGTCAGATGACAGACCCAGGCAGTTATTGTTTGTTAGCATAACGCATAAACATATTGATAAAGCACTGCAGTACTACAAGACGCTCTATTCTTTATGACAACTCCAATGACAGCGACAAACATTTCACATATTTAAAAAAAATTACATTGGAGACCTAGAAGCTGCGCTGAGCGTAACTTACACACACACACACACGCACACACATACTTATTGCGCCTTCCCTCCTCGAGCCCCGACACTACAAAACCCATAAAAGCAACAATTATTAATAATACTTACAGGTTGTGATTCGGAGGAGGAAGCTGATCCATATGCACTGGATACTGAGACCTCCTTCAGGAACAACCGGCTTGCAAATCCACATTTGAATTCATTTATGTTTTTGAATGATTCGTCATTAAAATTATGAGAACACAATCGGGCTATACTGTTGTGGTGTCGTTGCAAATATGAACTCTAACCACCGATTCTTCACATGCTCAAGTGGCTGAACTGTCTTTGCATTGTAGAACACAACGTCTTCTCGACATGATGCTATGATGAAGTATTTGAATGTGTTCTAGACTTCAAGTTTACACTTCCGTCTGCACGCGCAGTAACTGGGCGCGGCCAATATGTTCATGTTTCGTATCTACGACACTACGAAACAGCTAATGACTCGTTTGAAAAACAATTCATTTCATAGACTCAGAGTCGACTTTAACTTTTGAAAGACAATAACTTTATATACGGTGCACTTTCAGATATAAATATTTGCAGGATGTTTTCATTCCCTTATAGCTATATTCCACACCACATGAACAGTCATTTTCAAAAATCCATGTTCACACCTGGTATGAAGATGCGTTTCGATCGATCGGATCACAAGTAGACGAGAGACACATTCCTGTGTACACCTGGTGTTTTGATCCGTCTCTTTTGTCCACATTAGACCTCTTCTGTCCTGATTTCTTTGAGGGGAGGGTCTATGGGTGGGTAAATGTTTGGGCTTTTCCAGATCTCTCAATCTAATGTACAAAATGAAATCTTGTGCAATTGAACGCGCCCGGAGACGAGAAAGAAGCACACAGAGAGCATGTGTGAGCATGTGTGAACACAGTGAGTGTGTGTTAGAAATCAGGAATGGTGAGAGAACATCGTGCTTGGTTTGTTTTTCGTCGTCAAACTTGTGTCTCCAGTCGAAAAAGTTTAAAAACCGTCTGGCTAGAGCACTTTCCATAGTGTTTAGGCATTATATCAGTAGACAGAGAGTAGACGGCCTATTATGGCTGTTTGAACACATTCGACAACATGAGTGTTTACACTATTAAAGCAATCCAGTCGAATGTGTTTTCATCTACCACTGGAAGTGTGAAAAGTGGACAAGCTCAGTGTTTTAGACCCGTTTTACACCTGTATTAGCATCGTCCACTTGAGATCCGATCGACCAAAACGTATCTTAATACCAGGAATGAACATGGCCTTAGTTTCTCTGAAGTGAGCATCCTTTGTGCCACAGCAGTGTCTC